AGAAAAGTGGCTATATATATATATATATATATATATATAGCAATTCTTAATATAATCAGTCAACTATGGAAGTATGGTGGCAGTTATTTTAGTATCACTGAAATACTACTACAGTTTTTAATAATATTTAATATTTTTTAATATTATTAATATATTTTTAATATATTAATATAATATTTTTATATTTAATAACAAGTAGTTTCTATTTTTATATTTTCTGTTTTCATTTACATTTTAGCAATTTTGTTGCGTTTTGCCATTTTTATTAGTTTTTTTTAAATCTATTTATATTTTTTATACATTTTTATGTTAGTTTTAGTTATTTTAGTAGCTCAAGAAATGAAAACGAGGAATTACCCTTAGCAATTAGCTTTAAAAAAAAAAGTTTAAAGTTTTTCATATTTTATTTTATTTAAAGTTGAATTTATTTCAAGTAACACTTTTGTATGTTTTTAATTTTAGCTAACTATAATAACCCAGTATGGAGGTATCTATTCATTTTACATTTTAAATAAGGTTAATTAAGATTAAATTGTATTGAAATTTCTGCTAATGTAAATGTGGTAAATAAAGGTTAGTTTTTTACCCTGTTCACTGGGGTGTTTTGCCTTAAGAAATCATCCGCCCAAAACACTGGAGAGGAAGAAAAAAGCCATATTTGCAAGATTAAAGGTTGTGAAACGGCAAACACACCCAAAACCCCTTGAATGAGTGTGTGTTCTGCCCCGGTGTCGGGGTGCTAACCAGCTGCCCTCTCTAGCTCTCTAGCAGTACGTTTCTGAACTATGAACAATAAGGTTGGCACAGACCAAGCAGTTGGTAATACAGCTTGGCACGCAGACACCGGACGAGAGAGACTGCAGCAAGGGTTTGACGTGATCGTGTGTTATGTTCGTCCACACCTTAGTCTTCGCCTTGGGGCTACCGCTGCAGTCCTGCCCCTCTTCTGCAGATTCAACGGGCCTCCCGGAGGCTAGCCAGCGGTTCTTGTCCCGCTGAAAGCTGTGCTTTAACGGGGAGCGCGCACCCGAGTCACTGTCCTCAGCGTACGAGTAGCCCGTGGCTGAAGAGGGGATCTCAACATCACTGTACTTTTTTGCTTTATCACGCAGCGCAGGGCAGCGGTACGGATAACCGGTCCTGTAGCCCTGCGGAGAGAGACGCCCCGTCACATGTCGGGTCAAACAGAGAGGCTAAAAGAGAATAGGGCTGTCAAAAAGGCTGAAAAACTAAATTAGAATTTTGTACTTAAATATTATCAATATTCGAATTATAATCGATTTCAGTTAGGGGGGAAAAAAGCTTTTGGCTTCTCTCCTGAGGCCACAAGAGGGCGCATCGAGCAAAATATTACTAATGCACGTTTCTTCAAAGTAGGGCTGCACACGTAATCAAATTTTTTATCGCGATTACAATTACGGATGAGATAAAGCCAGATGTTAAGTAGAGAGCGAGTGTGAGTGCAGGAGTGTTAACACTTAAGTGCAGTAAGAGGAGTGCTAGTTTACAGGAATGAGTGTGGCTGTAGTAGCGAGAGGTGCCTCTACTGTTGGGGGTAGTAGGGCTGTTGCTGTGGCGGTTGTTGAGGATAGGGGTAGGTCTGCTGTGCAGGAGGGCCTCCGGGGTATCCAGCCTGCCCCTGGGCTTGATAGGGCATGTAGGGCATATTAAACTGCCCATATGCATAGGGGTTATAGGCCACTGGCATCTGGTAATACCTAAAAGAGAGGGGCAAAATAAAATTACATTTTAGGCTGAATTGGGTAAACATTTCAACTGATATCAACATACTTACCCAGTTGACTAATCACGGTACATTAAGATGATTGTTTATATTATATGTTTTCTGAAGTTTTGTTTAAATAAGCAAATGATGCATTATGTAATTAAATATGCACTAACATGCATACATTTTCAGAACAGAAAACTGAATATTGGATAAAACCAGATTCAAAATTTGTTTAATTCTGTTGACATATTAGACATTAAGATTTTTACAGACAGAATTTTAGGTCTCTCTTTTATCACTCCATAAAGCTGAAAATACTGTCAACAGTCAGAAAAAACACCATGTTTGTGGGAATAAAATAAATCAGATGAACAAACCCCCTTTGAAAAACCATCAGAATTTCAGGATCAATCTTTGAAGATATTGTAATTTAAACAAATTACAAATGCAAATAGATAAAGTGTATTCAAAAATAAACAATTAAATGTGTATCTTGGTTGTTTTCTTTCCACTAGTCTGAAAGAATACATTGTATGAAATAGGGCTGCACAATTAATAAATTTTTTAATCGCGTTTACAATTACGGATGTCACAATTATGTAATCGTTCAAAGCGGCAATTAATCGTTTAAAGTCCAGTTATGTTATTCTGTGTGCTTAAGATCATTTTTTTTCTTTCTACAAGTTATCTTAAGGGTTTTTCAATTGTTTTAATATGACATTATAATACCATGCATATTTTACCTTTGTTTATTTAAAGAAGAAACCAATTCGATGAATAGATGCCATTTGAGGTTTAATACTATAGAAAAGCAATAAAGGTTTTTCAGTTTAAGGGTTTTCAGCTTGTTTATTTTCATCTAAAAATATGGCATGCGGTTGCTTCAAACAATGATATAACAGCATTCAATTGTGATAATCGTAATTAATAATCGCAATTACAATTTCAAGGGAATAATCGACAATTATGATCTTTGTCATAATCGTGCAGTCCTACTTCAAAGCGTAATAAAATAACACGACTATATTTGAAAAAAGTGCATAATATGAGATGCGAGTGCAACGGTGATAGACGTCCCTCTAGAAAATGTGATAAATATGCGTTCTGTGTGAACGGTTTGGTTTCGGTTTTGACGTAAACAACACCATCTCCGCATTGATGTTCTTTTTTCCCGGCAATATTTTAATTAACGTAGCAGCGCCGCATCTAGTGGCTTCAACTGGATAGGCTAAGAAAAACATTAAAATGCAACGACACCTACATCGTCATCGCATCTTGTGCGCCACTGATAAGGTTGCCTGATGCACACCTAAAATTCGAATGCAATGTTTTTGCATTTTTATTTTAAGTTCGACGGATATTCGAAATTCGAATTTTTTTTTGACAGCCCTAAAAGAGAAGAGTTTAAACCCTGGCCTACCAGATTATCCAGCATCCTCATCAAGGCCTCAAACTCCTGCTCCCCGATCTGCCACTTCGGGTGCGAGCTCGACCCGTCTCCGACCGGCTCGAGGCAGCGTGGACGGGATTTATACTTGCCTGGGTCCAACATTATTAGGTTGTCAGGACCTCCTGCACTGGCGAGGGTGCGCACCTGCAATTTCAGACCGGACAGCATTAAAGATGACTGTCGCACTCGATCTCCTGATTGAGGGTTTAGAGTGTTTTATCCAGTCAAAGCTCTTTCAGTGTAATTGTAGAAACGTCTAGCTTCAGCTGGA